CTTTGCGGCAAGTAGGCACTCTTAATATATGGCGAGCTAAAAGTCCTCTTGTGCAGATTGGTAGTAGAGGATGAGAGATTGGAGACTCTAGCACCCAACTCCTGGGTTTCTCTCCCTCAAAATTGGGATGGATATGGGCAAAATCGTACTGTCACCTACTTGAGAACAATGTTTTTCTTTCAAAAATATCGAGTTATGTGTTCTTCAGTTAAAATTTGTTAGAATCGTAGATTCTGAAATATTGCATGTGCATGCAGGAACTTCCATCAAAATCAGATAGGAACTTGCCAGAAAAATCTACGTATAAATTATTGCGTGACTTCATTTGATGCTTCAAATTATTAGGTATAAAATGCATTCAAACTATATGTGATATAAGGAAGTAAACAAATTATCGAATTTCTTTATATTATACCACTACAGTTACTGCAACATTCATTCTTAATGGGCTTTACGTATACCAAAGGGACATTACGAATTTGTTACTTTATTAGTCGAGCAAACGAGTTAATTATATATACTGTCATAAATTTCTACGATTTTACGTAAAAAATGTGTAAAATTCTTTAACTATTTTAATAGAATTTAAAGAACAGAGTTTAGAAAAAAAAATAACGAGTTAAAAATCACTCTTTGCTTTAGTTGCAACATGCTGCTTTTCTTCTCGTATATAATACTTAATTACCAAATCTTCTTCTTCAGTGTTGTTTCTTTTTCTCCCTTAAGGGGACTTGAAGAAACCTTTTATATACTTACTCCCAGACTCGCGCTAACCAAATCTTAATTTTATCACTTTAATCTCTTAATGTTCAAAGAAGGCTTTAAAACACATAATTAAATTCTGCTTGCCCTTTGTAATTTAATTTAAGTCTTTTACTTCTAACAGTTACGCACTATTAAGATTTACTGAGTTCTACCCATATTGCTTAATCTTATTGAGGAATAAGTCTGTCAATTTCTAAGCTTGGAAAACATTTCACTCCAATCTCCATTTTCAGTAATAAATTATATGCAGTTAATTAAATTTACTGAACTAAACTAATTGATTTCGCTCAGTTAATTTTTCTGAGAATTACTTAGCTTCTTTTCAAGTAATTTAAATTGTCCTTGTTTCAAATGAAAAAGCATTATATGATGAAAAGAGAATTCCGTTGATTATATCTTGTTCTCAGTGTGTGAATACTACTCAAATATAGTAATAAATAGATGTACAAATATTTATATCTTGCTTTTGTGCTTATTTACTGGGCAAATTAATTAAACAATATAGACACTAAGTACATCATTGATACGGACACTTCATCTGCTGAAAAATTTTTTTAATTCGTTGCTGTTAAGAAACAAGTACTTCAGCAATGGATTTAAAAATAATTAGTTGATTTTTTCTTGTTTTTCCTTACAAATGACTTTCCCTAATATTTTTATTCCCATTAAAAGAAAGATTGTAAAAATAAACTGAAAGATTTTAAAACAATTTTTCTAATAGAATTCTTGGAATAAATATTCTTCTACAATGACAAAATGAAGCTTTAATGTGAAAAGCATCCCTTACTCTTTGTCACTGCGTACGGTAAATTAAATCCAAATAATACCATTACATATATTTATAAAATTGTCAAAATTAAATAAAATTTTCCTAATGATCTAAGAAAATGGAATTGAAATAATACGAAAGTACACAAATTCATAATTTCAAAAGCAAATTCAACTATTACATAAGTATAATAAAACAGGAATGAAATATTTGTAATATTCATACCGCAAAATATATATATAAACTAGATTTCTATAGTTAAAATGGTAATCAACACTGATATCTGATAATTAGTGTAATAGAGTATGTACATAATATGATGTACAACTATATGCAGATGCAGAGTGATAGCTAGGATTTTCAGCGCCTAGGGACAACTGAAGATTTCGCGCCCCCTACTGCTTTCCAAGGATGGAAAACATTTAATTTTAAAATGTCGTAACATCAGTTTGGCGCCCCTTGGATTCTGCGCCCGGGGAGTGTAATGGCAAACCGCACATTGAGTTGATCTAAGTTAAACGAACTTCGCTTACTGCGCATGCCCAGAGTAGAATTTAGCGCAATTTTAAAAGAAGATAAATACTGTATATGATTGATACTGTGTTTACCTGGGCATAAACAGTTCTGGGTTTTAAAATTTGTTAAGTTGTAAGTTGCTTCATTACTTAGAGTGTAAATATCGGTTGTAAACTACGCAAATTTTCGTTTGAAAAGGATTACAAAAGAGGAAATGTTACAAAATAAATTAGCTGAATGTTTATTGATTATACTTCTGAGGCATAAAAGCAATTGAATATTAACCATACGTTCCATTCGTATATACTTTCACAAATTAAAGAATAAATCTAGTTTAAATTACTGAATTAAAGTCAAATAACTGATATTAAATGTAATGTTTATGAACAAAATAAACTAAAATGAAATGAAACGTAAGTTCATGCAATAAGCACACAACAAATTTCCGTAGTATTGCAATTGTAAAAACAGTAAAACCAGCATGACTAATTTGTGTAGTGTTGTTTATGCCCCCTTAGTCGTCAATATTTCCTCCCACACCAACGGTACACCATTGAGCATGCACACTAAGCGAAATTCGTTAACATTGATCAACTCAATGTGTTGTTTGCCATTACGCACCCGGAGACTGATGCCCCCTTGCCCCTTCTAGCTACTCCCCTGTGCAGGTGATTTGATTTTACCTTGCTCTAAAAGTTTTAACAACAGTAATAATTAACAGAAACCTCCTATTGTTTAAATAAAGTGACATTAACGTTACCACAACAAAAAATCAAATCCAAGTGAGAAAAGTGTACATTAATTAGTTAGCCTTATATTTCACTCTATTTTACAGGCGTATTTATAATGGAGCCTGTTTGGTGATTTACCTTCTGCTGTTAATAATATTAATTTAATCACTTCTGTAGACAAGTCTATATGAAAGCGATCCCAAGAAGGGTTAACTTGCGCACATAACGAATCGTTACCTACCTCAATCATTCAATGTAGTAATTTCAGTAGGATTGTTTTACTCTTTAAATTTATTAAAGTTAAAAATGTGATGATTTTTAATTCTTTTCCAAAAAACGTTCTTCAGTCTGCTGAATAACTGCGGATCGTAAAAGCAAAAAGTTTTAGTTTTTACAACTTCATTCTCAAAGGATAGTAAATAACTACTCATTGCTTTCCAGTTATTATCAATCAGTGCTGCAACTTGCTAGCCTTTTTAATAAATTCAAGGAGACTTAAAAACAAAGAAGTCATATTATTCAGTATAGGTGTTACTTATATAGATATTTGACAAATGACAAATTTTAACACTGGCACTTTTGAAAGTGTCAGTTGTAGCTTCTAAAACATCATAAATTTAAACGCTACGTTTCACGAATAACTGTTTAATTAGTTGAAAATAAAGAGTTTATGCTGAAATCTATATATTCAGACTGTTACCATCACTTTGTTCCTAACATGACATGATTTTTATATATATATAAATACGATCTAGTAAGCAATTAAATTCTCGTAATTTCTATCCTGAATTGTTAAACTGCATTTTCTAATTTTTCCCGATGTAATATTCTTCGTATGACACTGAAACGAATCTCATGTAAAAATATAATTCAGTAGGTACTTTAATTCTTATATATTTTACAGAAACGTTTTAGAAGATTACCCTAAAATGCCAGGAAGGTAATTGAATAAATTTAGAGAAACTTCAGAAACTGGAAACCGCGATGCATTAATTCTACCATAAATTAAAACTTTCAAAAGTTGGACTTTAAATTACCGAAATGTTGTAGTTTGGCTTTGCCCGAGTGAATAAAAACTATAAATAGCTGTTAATGACTGATTAAATTTCTTCTTCAATATATATAGATAGATAGATAGATATATTCTGTGGAATAATTAGTTGAAAGGAAAGAAATTTGACCTTTTTCAAAAGATGTATATTCTATACATATTATATAGGGGTGTTCAAATGAAAAGGAACGAAACGACGCTACGTCTATAATTGAAGTCTATTCAGAAGTAATCACCACACACATGAGCACAACTATCCAACTGTTTCACGAGCCGAAGGGTTCTCTGTTAAGAGAATTTCTATCGTTGTGACAGGAGCCAGACTTCCACTTCATCCTTCAGTTCGTCATCCGAATTGAAACGTTTCCCTTTGAGATGTGTTTTTAGCGGACCAAACACATGGAAATCGCAGGGCAACATATCCGGGGGGATGGCTCAAGCTGCTCCCACTTGAACTTGGCCATTACACTTTGCGGGACCTTGAAGAAGTGTGGACGCGTGTTATCGTGGAACAAAATCACTCCCGCCGTGAGCAACACAGGCCGTTTGTTCTTGATGGACTTGCGTAGGTGACATAGTGTCTCACAGTAAACGTGACTAGATGAGCAGAAAAAATACAAGTTCACTTTAAAGTCACAAAATAAAGCACGCATAAATATTCTATAATTTAATATACTTTTTTCGATATTCAATTAAAATAGCCTATTGTTTCTCATCTTATTCCACAAATTAGTCCTCAACAGAGGATCTTCGGAATTGTTTGCATCTCTTACTCTTGAGTACAGTAAATATTTTACAGAAGGAAAAAATGACTTAAAATTTCACCATACTTCCTTCTAAACGCTGCTTTTTATATCGCATTTTACCAGTTTTAATTATTAAAATAATTTCTTTAAATCTAAGTATATAAATTTGACGTAAACCGGAATGAATGACTTCACTAAAAAGACAAAAAAGAAGAGAAAAATCCATTCTTTTCAGTAGCCAATTTCAAACACAATTTAAGAAAAAGGAGACTGTCTCGAGTATAAAGTAAACGCATCAACCTTTCTCAAGAATTTTCGACTGCTCCCAAGAGTGGAAACCAGAAAACGAACAGTTAGATTGAAAAATAAATACCCATGAGAATATTGTTGGCTGCTAAAATGGTCGTTTCTTATTTTTTTAGTGTGCTGCTCTTCATGCGGTGGCTCAGACAGCTGATTTCTTAGAAGAAACTGCCGTCCGTAAAATGGTGCTGCCACGGACGAAACAAGTCTTTGAAAATAATAATGGCATAAAGGTAAGAAAGGCAAAACTTTCAATTATTGTATTTGTACATATTTTGTTCAGTCATTCTCATATCACATTTTAAGTAAAGAAGTTTAATCCTAACTCCACATGTAATTTTTAGCATGTTAGCTGATTTTCGCCGAAACGGAACGCAGGTCAAATTTTATGCGAAAAATAAAATTTGGTAATTAAAACCTGTAGTTTGAAAATTACTATAAGCTGAAATCTACTGCAATTTTCAAGTACAGGAAAGGGCTTATTACAATACTTGCAGAAATTATTTATTATTTTAGCAGCTTCTTCTTAATAATAGAGGAATACTTCCAAACTAAGAGCCTTTTTAAACTAGTAAACTACTCAACTAACTAAATACTGGCTGCATAGTTCCATTTTTGATATCAGAAGTTACCAGTTAGAATCAATGGAAAAGGTAACGAGCTGCACGAACTTTGCATTTGTCTGTTCTTGCGGCAGATGAGGAGTAATCGTTTTATGATAAAAGTTACTCGTCATATTTCGCCTAGCATCGTGTTGCTAGGATGGTTTTCAGTCTTTTAATTGCTACCTATTTACTAAGCCTAACCCTGAAACAGTTAAAAAATATTTTGTCACTATTCCGTAAATCAAAAAGTACCAACTGGACTTAATTCTACTGAGCGTGCAGTAGATACAAGATGTCGTAAGCTTCTTAGTAGCCGGGACACGCTTAGTATATAACTAAGCAATATTAGTAGTCAATTACTGTATGTAATTCAGTTCTGGATGTTTTAAGTTAAATTGTATTACTTGAATAGAATGATCATGGCTTTGAAAGAGAGCAGATATGAAAATTTCATTTAAATTATATTAATTGTAGTTAGGATAAATTTGTACTGTATTTAATCAGATCTTATCAAAAGAGTATTTCAGATATCTGGTAATTACAGCACACTTTGTTACTTTTTCTGTGTCTACTTTTATGCTTATATCAGAGTCTGTGTTAAGCATAAATTTATTTTCTTAGATATATATTGAAATAACAGCAAAGCATTTCTTATATTATCACCCATAACCGTTTCTTGTATATACTTATGTATTATGTTCTGCTTTATTCAAAAATATGGATAATATGCAGAAAAATTTCTTTCATTAAATTTTGCTGTCTGCCGTTAACCCTAGTTATAACACATATAAAGTAATGCTTAAATATATTCTTAAAAAAAATTTCAAGATTCTCGTCACTTCCACCGCCGCAGAAATTATTTGCGCTCAAAACTGGATGTAAGTTGTAATATTCATAGCTGGTTACCTAAATATATGGTACGTATACTATTTATTCTGGTCACGGCAGATTGAAGCTACCATAGTGATAGGATTCCATATTTCAAATTAAATAACTGTAGGTTTTTAACAGTTAACAGATTACCAAATTTTAACAGGGAAGCCAGAGACACCATTATTCTACCAAGAGGTTAAGTAGTATTGTCTCCCGTCCCCGTACGTCTAGCATCAGGTGATACATCAAATATATCTCACTGTAATATATTGGGGCATGAATCTAAACCATATAATCTAACAATTAACATATTATTACAAGTTATTCTTTCCTCTATATATAACTTCTAGGGCATAGCTACAATATTCAAAAAAACATTCTAAACCAGTAAGGCTGGAAACTAGTCTAGTTACAATCTCTTGCCGTCATTTTTTTAATTCAAACTGACCTTATTTCTATGCTTGCATTTACCATACTTTCTGCTTTCCGTACCTATCCTTTGATAGATTCGTATTAACTGTGATTGTAAGTTTTTCTCCCTTCTTACAATATGCTTTGGTGGTGTAATTGACAAGCATATTTACCTAGTTGGAAGGTGCAGAACTCGAATCCTGGCAAAACCAAATCGGATTTATCATGTCTTCTGTTTCGAAATAAAATGCCTAACAGAATCTATAAAATAAAAAAGGGAAAGTTGAACTAAATGAATTATTGATTGAAATAAAGATAATAATTTTAAAATGCAAATTTTCAGAACATTTTGAAACTTTTACGTTCAGTAAACTGAATTGAACTATTTCTTGTTGTATTAGGTGCAAGCCAATGCACTGACATGCATCGAAAAAATAATTGACAAACTGGAGAAAACGGATATACTGGATGAGGTGCTTCCTATGCTCAGCAAAGCCAAAATACAAGACCCTGCCATTCTTATGCCGGTAGTAAGTAAGTAAATTAATCTTATTTACACATCCATCGAACCCCTACATCCCTGAATTACGTCTTTTTTCCCCTTGGAAATAATTTAAAATTTAGTCTATCGTCATCACTCTATTGTAAATCAGAAAAACCGTAATGATATAAAGATTTCCTTATTTTTGTAGACTTAATTATAAATACAAGAATACTAGTTTATTAATTAGTTTTCCAGGCTCATAGATATGGAAAGTGAGAATTCTGAGTCTTTTTATTTTTGTATGACTGAATACGCCTCTGTATTATTAAAAAAAAAACTAACGTGCTCTGAAAAATTGCACTTGCGGGAAGAGCTGAATAAGGCATTGCCTAAAAACTTATTAATTCAGCCACTGATTTATATAGTATGTCTAAAGCAAATAAAACTACGCGAACTGCAGTTTTTAATCCAATGTATTTCAGGTAAATGTTAAAGTGAGAAAGATAAGCAGGTTGCAATTGAGAATGAAATGTAAAACTGAATGAAAATTTCTAATGCTTCATAAGATTCTTGACATGATTTCTCATTCGGAAAAATATTCTTTTAAAGGGAATAAGGGTTTTAATGTGTTGGCTAAGGTACAAATAGAGAGAGATTAGATTAGATTATAGTACGATAGAGATCAGATTATAATATGATTGAGATGCAACTATATCATTAAATAATAAATTTACCGTAGAAAATATCGACCAATGATTTAGTTTTCGACGTTTGTTAGAGTGAATGAATTTACATTCAATATTATTTTGCGAAGCTCAAAAAAGTATATTTATGGTTGAAAATTTAATTTGATGCGTTAAAAATTATTCTATATTAATAAAAATACTGGATTAAATTGTTTAATTACAGCGAAATACATTAAGGTTATCAGCTATGATGAGGCATGCCAATATAGAAGATTTGTATTGTGAACTGGTCACGAAAAATGTACTAGGAAAACTAAAAGAACTTCATACAGCTATCCAGTTTCGCTGAAAACTGTCACTTTTTCACTGTTTGAGTCGTTCGAGGAATAATCAGCCTACTGAATTAAAAAGAATCCTAAGAAATTTTCTTTATTTAAAGGTTTTTAAAAGTCAATTTTGATAGTTATATGAATTCTATACGAACTATTCAAAATTCAGAAAATATTAATTTGTAATAAGTGGACTCATAAATTACGTTACTCATTATCTTCCCAAACATAGTTTCATTTTATCACCGAGAAAACTACAAATGACAAAATTCCAGCTTGAGCATAATTTGAACCCAAACTGGACTAAATAAGCCCATTACTCGTGAGTAAACGCTAAATCTTGAAAGAGTGCGAGAAACTGGTCATTACAATCAAACTGAATTTTAAAGACATTAAGCCGTTCCTTTTTAAATGATAAATCTAAACAGTTTTCCATACTTTTTTATTATTTACTCCTACATTTTTTTCAACAAAACTGTAATCTAACTGTGAATGACCATTGCCCTTCAAAAAGCATGAGATAATTACGTAAGTTACCTACGTAATGCTAATGCCCAAAAAGTAGGCAAGGGCACATCTGAAGTTTTTTACTTACTCAATCTCGCGCTTGTAATCGCTCTCTGAAGATACTGGCACAATAGGCTATTAGTACGAGCCCCTTGGATTCTAGAGTTAAATTTTAAAGAGAACGATCTGAGCAACGATTTGTCGAATGGCATAGTTGAAAAAAAATGTAGGTTACAAATATCACTCAATTACCATTTCTCTTTATTTGACGTGACTTTTTTCATCTTTCTAAAGTCAGCAGAAATTCTTCGAGTTGTTCTTCGAAATTCTTCGAGTTATGAATGTTCACAAGTCTTCAACCAGATGTGTTCGATAGGTTCCGTAGAGGAAGAATGAGCGATCCAGTTAGTACTCTGTGGTGGGCAATGAAAAATTGTTTTAACGCTGCATGCCACACGCGGTCGAGCATTATCTCATTTCAGTATAGCCAAATTTATAAAGCCGATTCTCCAAACCAACAGAGATGTACAGGTGGCTGTCGAGTATGCTGGTAGGTGAACAGGTGAAAGCAGGTGTAGACACCCAGATGGATTACATAGACTGGGTGTTGTCCCGGATCCCGCAAAAGTATAGAACAGCATTCTTCAGTGCCGTTCAAGAGCCGCGTCGAGATTTTGTTGAATTTACATTCTGCATAGCCTTTATGCTAAATTTATTACGTATTAATAATACTTTGCGAAGATTCCTGTACTCTGAGGAAAACGTCGTCCTGACTCAAATTGTTGACTCAAATTGCTAACTCTTGGGCCAGATTTCTTGATGCTACTGTGTGATCCGTCATTGCCATCTCAAAACATGCTTGTCCTCTTGTTTGTTAGCTTGACGAGACTGGTCCAATAGTTTCGATATTTCGCAGTCTCTATAAGCTAGTCAGAAACTTACTCGCTGCAATCCAAAATGAATGACTGCGCTTTTTTTGACAAGACACTGAAGATTTTTACTTTAAGTAAGAGCAGGAAAATACAAAATTTCAGTACTTCGTTTTATCTTTTTATAGTGCTTCTAGATGCTTCTTGGACATTATTTGCATATATGTGCGAAAATTTTGATCATATGCATTACTTGTTGAAGTCTACATATGGAGCAAATTTCACTTGTCTGAATGCTTGCTTCGGGGTTTTGCATTTTGGAATGCAGCGGTGTAATAAGATTCGAATATTAAATGTCCGATCCTTACTCGATAGAATCTTTTATTCTTACAGTAAAAAAGAACGTGGTCTTTTTATTGTATCTTCTTCATGCATCATTCAGAATATATCGGCATACTCAATTAAAATGTTCTGAAATAATGAAAATTTAATACGTACACTGGTTTAATTTTAAAATTTATCATTTGTTAATCCACAAAGTATCTTTTTGTAGCTTTTGAAATAACTTCAATTTCTGCAGTTTTAACAAAAGTACAAAATAGTATATTTTAGGGGTAAAAATGAAAGACTGAGCTAATCTCTTAGAAATGTACTTTCAATTACTTTTCCTTTTAAGTAAGTTCAAGTACCATTCTACTCGTGCTTTCAAATCATTTCAGTCGCTATTCTGCTCATGCTTGAAATGAAATGGGTAGCTGGTAATTAATATTCTGAAAAATCTAGAAATAAATCATTAAAAACTATAGTTTAAAGATCAAATAAATTCTTTTCGCATAGCTTCAAAGAGTTTTAGAAAGATTGACTTTTCTTAAGAGACAAAATCTTTCATTTTTTCTTTCTCAGTCGTATAACAATAAGTCAAACAGAATGCAAATAAAAAAGAAGAAAAGAAGTGCCTATTACTTGGTTGAAGGAAAAGTCTCAAAAGTTAATATGTTCTGTTTCTTAATCAATAAGATACGCCATTGTTCATCTTTCTAGCGCTAAACAGATTCTATTCCGACACGATTTCGAAATATTTTCTTTTTAGAGCGCCATCTAGCGGTCTTTTCGTGAATCGATTGAGTCTTAGTCCTTCCTTATTGATTTCCGTCTTCTTACATACAGGATTTGCATCTCACCAGATATAAGATGAGTGTCAAAAGATAGAAAAGAATTTTTTTTACGTTGTTACTTTATCCCAGAAATATTTTCTTTTCCCTTTCTTGGGCAATATTTCATCGCGTTTCGAAAGAAACATGGTGGGAAAGAAACCCATAAAAAATTTTAAGAAAAAATTCTCTTTGTTTTTCTACTAGTATGTACGATAGTTCTTCTCTTATGTAAGCCTTTAAGCACGCTTGTATTTTCTTCTTTAAACACTTTTGTTGTAGAATGTAGAGGATAAAGAAATCTAAAGTTGTTCACGCGAAGAATTGAATTTGCAGACTTTTATTATTTTTGGACATTTTTATTTATTTTTTCGTATTTTGAATAACATTCTCAGTAGTAAATGCAATTTCTAGCATCAGTTACATAATTTGGTTACAGATGCTTCTTGACTTGCTATGAAGTTACGCGCTGATATATCCACCAATAATTGAAAATTTCGCAATTCAGAAGCACCTAATATACTGAACATCAAATCTTTAAAATTTGCTTAGTAAAAATACATATCAGCTTACAGTTGTATAATAAATATTTAGTATGAAAAGTTAATTTTTAATAAAATTTTGAATACCTCTAATTTATCGGAAACTGTATGGAGTTGTGCAAAATATATTGTTATGAGTGCTCATCCTGAATATATACAAATGAAAGTAATTGTTGTATTGTTTTGCCATAATTCTCTCCCTGTTCTTAGATACTAGTTGCATTAATTAACATTTATTTATGGCTTAGCAGCCGAAACGTTCTTCAGGATGTTTGCACTATTTGTTTCTTTTTGTAATTTTACAATACATTTGAAAAATGTAGCTACAGTTTTAAGATTTTCTTTCCGTAAATTTTGGTCCTGGACGTCTGTTCTTCTAATTACAAATATTATTCAAAATAAGGTACAAGTTTATTTGAATAGTTTGACATCGTGGTGAAGTGACATCGTGGTGGAGTGGCTTCATAATTATACCATCTAAATTTGTATGTGTTTCTTTTACAGCAAGAATTTCACTACGTAGTATATTTACTGGATTTAATAAACACAAAATTTCCTTTATTGTGTGCAAAGATTTATTTCGGTAAAACTTCTACTGATGAGAAGATTAGTCAATGACAGTCCTTAAATGCAAGAAATGCTTAATCAAATAAGCCCATTACTGACCGTTAGCTCACCAAAAAATATTTGTGCTGTCAAAGGTTAAACTGGCTGCGCGCTATGAACCTTAGACATGCAGGTTTCATTTACGTTGTACTAGGCTGTAGATGGGAATAAAGTATTTCGGTTATAATTTAAACCTAAATTTTTATTTCATCAGTATTCTTTTTTTTTTTTTTTTTTTTTTTTTTTTTTGTGTGTGTGTGTGTGTGTGTGTGTGAATCACAGCTGTTAACCAAATTTTTTAAGCTTTTCGTAAATTTCTAAACTTTGAAGTAGGATTTGTTAAATCTGCATGTTATATGG